AAAAAAAAAAACAGAGATGGGAGTCTCACTATGGTGCCTAGGCTGCTCTCAGACTCCTGGGCTCAAGCAATCCTCCTGCCTCAGCCTCCCAAAGTGCTGGGATTACAGGCGTGAGCCATTGCACCTAGTGGAGACGTTTATAAGAACAATTAAAAAAATATTACAACAGTGTTTCTTGGTGTTAAGGGATATCATCCACTGCCCTGAGAGTCTGGTCAGTGGCCACTGAGCAGATTTTGGCTCCTAATCCTATTCTACAGTAAAGAGAAAAACCTGGCAGGGCGCGGTGGCTCAAGCCTGTAATCCCAGCACTTTGGGAGGCCGAGACGGCGGATCCGCGAGGTCAGGAGATCGAAACCATCCTTGCTAACCCGGGTGGAAACCCCGTCTCTACTAAAAATACAAAAAAACTGGCCGGCGCGGGTGGCTCAAGCCTGTAAACCCAGCACTTTGGGAGGCCGAGACGGGTGGATCACAAGGTCAGGAGATCGAGACCATCCTGGCTAACCTGGTGAAACCTCGTCTCTACTAAAAATACAAAAAATTAGCCGGGCGAGGTGGTAGGCGCCTGTAGTCCCAGCTACTCAGGAGGCTGAGGCAGGAGAATAGCACCAAACCCGGGAGGCGGAGGTTGCAGTGAGCTGAGATCTGGCCACTGCACTCCAGTCTGGGCGACAGAGTGAGACTCCGTCTCAAAAAAAAAAAAAAAAAAACGCCGGGGGAGGTGGCGAGCGCTGTGTCCCAGCTACTCAGGAGGCTGAGGCAGGAGAATGGCGTGAACCCGGAGCTTGCAGTGAGCTGAGATCCGGCCCTGCACTCCAGCCTGGGCGACAGAGCGAGACTCCGTCTCAAAAAAAAAAAGAAAAACCTTACTCTTTTGTGGTTTACTCCTAAAAAATACAAAAAAACTGGCCGGGCGCGGTGGCTCAAGCCTGTAAACCCAGCACTTTGGGAGGCCGAGACGGGTGGATCACAAGGTCAGGAGATCGAGACCATCCTGGCTAACCTGGTGAAACCTCGTCTCTACTAAAAAATACAAAAAACTAGCCGGGCGAGGTGGCGGGCGCCTGTAGTCCCAGCTACTCAGGAGGCTGAGGCAGGAGAATAGCATAAACCCGGGAGGCGGAGGTTGCAGTGAGCTGAGATCTGGCCACTGCACTCCAGTCTGGGCGACAGAGCGAGACTCCGTCTCAAAAAAAAAACAAAACAAAACAAAACAAAAAAACTAGCCGGGGGAGGTGGCGGGCGCCTGTAGTCCCACCTACTCAGGAGGCTGAGGCAGGAGAATGGCGTGAACCCGGGAGGCGGAGCTTGCAGTGAGCTGAGATCCGGCCACTGCACTCCAGCCTGGGCGACAGAGCGAGACTCCATCTCAAAAAAAAAAAAAAAAAAAGAGAAAAACCTTTTCTCTTTTGTGGTTTACTCCATGCTGTGCAGAGAAAGACAAGATTGTTTGAATATTTTTATTTTTTTATTTTTTATTTTTATTTATTTGTGAGACGGAGTCTCCCTCTGTCACCCAGGCTGGAGTGCAGTGGCGAGACCTCGGCTCCCTGCAACCTCTCCCTCCCGGGTTCAAGCAGTTCTCTTGCCTCAGCCTCCTGAGTAGCTGAGACTACAGACATCTGCCACCACGCCTAGTAAATTTTTGTATTTTTAGGAGAGATGGGGTTTCTCTATGTTGGCCAGGCTGCTCTCAAACTCCTGACCTGAGGTGATCTGCCTGCCTTGGCCTCCCAAAGTGCTGGGATTACAGGCATGAGCCACTGAGCCCAGCTGAATATTTTTAAAGAATCAGTAATTCTGTGAAAAAGCAAAAGCCTATGATTCTCCAATAGAGCAAATCAGATGAAGTAGTCAAGAAAAATCAGGCTGGAATTCCAGTACTATTTACAGAATCTCCTGAATGTTGATCAACCCAAAACCTTGTGCATACTGAGATAAGTCTTTGGTCTACACCCAAATACCATTATCATAAATCGGACTAAGAAAAGAGGCCGGGCGCGGTGGCTCAAGCCTGTAATCCCAGCACTTTGGGAGGCCGAGACGGGCGGATCACAAGGTCAGAAGATCGAGACCATCCTGGCTAACCCGGTGAAACCTCGTCTCTACTAAAAAATACAAAAAACTAGCCGGGCGAGGTGGCGGGCGCCTGTAGTCCCAGCTACTCGGAAGGCTGAGGCAGGAGAATGGCGTGAACCGGGGAGGCGGAGCTTGCAGTGAGCTGAGATTGCGCCACTGCACTCCAGCCTGGTAAGCTGAAGGCCAGACTCCGTCTCAAAAAAAAAAAAAAAAAAAAAAAAGAAAGAAGAGCTAGGTGCCAGATAGGAATGCCAGATCCCGTCAGTGAACCAGCTTGCAAGAAGAGGTTAAAAAAAAAAAAAAAAAAAAAAAAAAAAGAAAAGAAGAGCTAGGTGCCAGATAGGAATGCCAGATCCCGTCAGTGAACCAGCTTGCAAGAAGAGGTTTGGATTTGGAAGGGCTCAACTCAGAGAGTAAAGATTTAGCCACGTGCAGTGGCTCACACCTGTAATCCCAGCACTTTGGGAGGTCTGGGTGGGAGGATCACTCGAGCTAGAGTTTGAGATCAGCCTGGGTAACATAGTGAGACTTTGTCTCTACTAAAAATTTTAAAAATTAGCTGAGCCTGTTGGCATGTTTATGGTCCCAGCTACTCAGGGGCCCGAGGCAGGAGGATCACTTGAGCCTGCCTGGGAGACTGGGACTGTAGTGAGCTATGATCAAGAGACCCTGTCTCAAAAGAAAGAAAGAAAAGAAAGAGAGAAAGAGAGAGAGAGAGAAAAGAGAAGGAAGAGAGGAAAGAAAGAGAGAAAAGAGAAGAAGAAAGTAAAAGTTCTGGGACACAGCTGGGCATGAGCGTGCACCTGTAGTCCCAGCTACTTGGGAGGCTGAGGAGGGAGAATCCCTTGAATCCAGGAGGCAGAGGTTGCAGCGAGCCAATATTGCGCCACTATACTCCAGTCTGGGTGACAGAACAAGACTCTGTCAGAAAAAAAAAAAAAGGCCTGGCGCAGTGGCTAACACCTGTAATCCCAGCACTTTGGAAAGCTGAGGCATGCAGATCATGAATTCGAGACTAGTCTGGCCAACACAGTGAAACCCTGTATGTACTCAAAAAAAAAAAAAAAAAAAAATAGCTGGGTGTGGTGGTGTGCTCCTGTAATCCCAGCTACTTGGGAGGCTGAAGCAGGAGAATCGCGTGAACCCCACAGGCAGAGGTTGCAGTGAGCCGAGATCACGCAACTGCACTCCAGCCTGGGCGACAGAATGAGACTCCATCTCAAAAAAAAAAAAAAAGGTTCTGGGATTGGCCAGGCTCTGAGTCAAAGTTCAGCATTGTGGGTCAATTTCTTTTTTTTCTTTTTTCTTTTTTTTTTTTGATACAGAGTCTCGCTCTGTCACCCAGGCTGGAGTGCAGTGGAGTGATCTCCGCTCACTGCAAGCACCATTCTCCTGCCTCAGCCTCCTGAGTAGCTGGGACCACAGGCGCCCACCACCACACCCAGCTAATTTTTTGTATTTTTAGTAGAGACGAGGTTTCACCGTGTTAGCCAGGATGGTCTCGATCTCCTGACCTCATGATCCGCCCGCCTCAGCCTCCTAAAATATTGGGATTACAGGCGCGAGCCACCGGGCCTGGCCATTGTGGGTCGATTTCTAACTGCACAGCCTCCACTCTGGACCTTGCCTTGCCTCTGCATTTACTGTTCGAGTAAATTTGTAATCATGAGATGAAAAATTAAGCTGTCCTGTAGCTCTGACACTGATCCAGGATTAGTAACTGGCTTTTTAAGATGTTTGAAAGAGTTCATCCGGTCATGGTGGCTCACACCTGTAATCCCAGCACTTTGGGAGCCGAGGCAGGAGGATTGCTTGAGCCCAGGAGTTTGAGACCAGTCTGGGCAACATAGTGAGATCCCGACTCTACTAAAAATAGAAAAATTTAGCTAAGTGTGGTGGTACATGCTGGCGATCCCAGTTACTCGGAAGGCTGAGGTGGAAGGGTGCTTGACTCTCCCAGGAGGTTGAGACTGCAGTGAGCCATGATCACACTACTGCACTCCAGCCTGGGACACAGAGTGAGACCCTGTGTCCAAAATAAATAAATAAATAAATAAAAGAATTCAGTCATCTGATATACTAAATGTCTGATTTATTCATTTCCAAGAGCCCCGTAAGTGCTTAGGAAGATGTTGATTTTGGATTTGTGCTCAGCTCCATTAAGAGAATCAACAGAATCAGTGGGGTGCGGTGGCTCACGTCTGTAATCCCAGCACTTTGGGAGGCTGAGGCGGGCAGATCACAAGGTCAGGAGATCGAGACCATCTTGGCTAACATGGTGAAACCCTGTCTCTACTAAAAATACAAAAAATATTAGCTGGGCATGGTGGCACACGCCTGTAGTCCCAGCTACTCAGGAGGCTGAGGCAGGAGAATCACTTGAACCCGGGAGGCGGAGCTTGCAGTGAGCTGAGATTGCGCCAATGCACTCCAGCCTGGGAGACAGAGCAAGACTGTGTCTCAAAAAAAAAAAAAAAAGGAATCAAGAGTTGAGTCGATTATGTTTCTAATTGTTATTTGAGATGTCTAAGGGTATTTTGTTAATCAGGCATTTAAGGCATGCAAAATATTTAGGGAAAAGTTGAGCTGTGAAATTAATATTTGTTTTTATTTTTTTATTTATTTATTTTTTGAGATGGAGTCTCACGCTGTCGCCCAGGCTGGAGTGCAGTGGCACTATCTTGGCTCACTGCAAGCGCCTCCTCCTGGGTTCACGCCATTCCCCTGCCTCAACCTCCCGAGTAGCTGGGACTACAGGCGCCCGCCACCATGCCCAGCTAATTCTTTGTATTTTTAGTAGAGACAGGATTTCACTGTATTAGCCAGGATGGTTTTGATCTCCTGACCTCGTGATCCGCCCACCTTGGCCTCCCAAAGTGCTGGGATTACGGGCGTGAGCCACCGCGCCCGGCCTACTTATTTATTTTTTAAGGAGATGGGGCATGCATTTAAGGCATGCAAAATATTTAGGGAAAAATCAAGATGTGAAATTCATATTTGTTTTGATTTACTTATTTATTTTTTATATTGCCCAGGCTGGTCTTAAAATTGTAGGCTCAAGCAATCCTCCTACCTCAACCTCCCAAAATACTGGGATTACAGGTGTGACCTACCATGCCTGGCCAAGCTGTGAAATTTATAATCTAATGATCATTCATCAAAAAATGTGAAAGTGAATTTTACAATTTTCAAAATTATTAGTCAATACCATATCTGGAAGGCCACTATAAAGGCTTAAGGAGAATGAGATTTTTATCTAACAACTTTAACAAATCGATTATAAATTAAAACGCAAAGAATGAAGTGTTCTTTTCCATGCATAAGTCCCCTAACTTGGATGTGGTTCCCCCACTAGGCGGTGACCAAGTGATGCCCTCCCTGAGGGCAGGTGTCGATGGAGTCTGTTTGCTTCTCATGGTTTCTCCTATTGGGAACATGGTCCCTGGCACATGACCTCATTGATGTTTGTCGAATGAATGAATGAGGTACTGGGCAGTGGCTGCAGGCCCATGCCACTCCCACCCTGGTCAGCAAGCCCCTTGCATGGCACGCAGAGGCAAGCAGGGAAGCGTGTTTGTGGTGCTAGCACGGAGGAGGTTGACGGCCAGGAGGCACCGGACTCCAAGCCTGAGGGTCTGTCTTCGTTGCTGGGCAGGCTAAGGTGTGAGGCAGAGGCCCTCAGGACCCGCAGGGGCACTGCAGTGCTCAGCATTTCCCCAGAGGGCAGTGGCCTGGGAAGAGATAGAGCCAGGCTAGGGAGGGGTGGGGCCCTGGTGAGGCCTTGCCCCTCCTCCCCTCCCAGGGATCTGAGCTTCTGGGGTCAGTCACTCAGCAGCCACCTACAGGTGGCAGAATCTGCTATCCTTCCCAATGGCTGGGTGTCCCCCAGTGCGGCTGGAGGGGTGACCATGGGGGGCCTTTGGGCAGGCGGCTCGGCCACTGCACCTCCCTCTCACCTCCGTAGCCGTTCCCCAGCTGGCCGTTGCTGCCTCTCTTCACCTCAGGGCCCCCTACAGCACAGACGGACAGATCAGGGGCACTTGGGTCACCAGAGAGCTTCCATCCACCCAAGCTTCAACCCAGGCTCTGGGAGACCCCCCCTCCCCAGAGGACCCAGGGCTCAGCTCTGCCTCAGCTTCTCAGAGGACTGTGGGGAGAGGGACAGAGTGTGGAGAACTGAGTCCCTGATGGCCCAGCTCCATCACCTCCCCTTCTTGGTCCAGTGTCCAGGCTGGCTCTCGGGGTCCTGGGCTCTGCTGGCCTCTCCTCCAGCCCCGCTCCTTCCTGCTCCTTCCTGCCTATGCCCTCCTGGCCTCTTCCCACTCACTCTATCCCCTCCACCAAGAGGGCTGCACCTTCCATCTCTGTGGGGCTGTGGGTAGACCTGGGCCCAGGGCCCAGTTCCCTGAAGCCACCTCTAATGGCTCCAACACACTCATCCAGGCATCCCATTACCTGGCTGGCTCCCGACCTCAGCATATTCACCTCCAGCCTGATATCCAGGCTTCAAGCCAGCCCCCCAGGCCTGAAGGGTGGGCCAGGGAGAGTCCCACAGCACCCGGGCCTGCACTGTGGGGAGGAAAAGCTGGCATGGGCACCGTTGCCCACAGGAGCTGGGATCCCCTGGCCCCTGTTGGACTTGGCTCTGCTCCCTGAAGGCTCATTTCTTACCATTTCCTTCAGGGGCTGGAGCTCCTGCTTTGGGGTACACCAGAGCTTCTGCCTCATCCCCTGCAAGAGACTCTGGTCATTCCCGCCTAGCCCCTGGGCTGTTGTCTCCCCAACCCCACTGCACTTTGTCCCCTGGGTCTGACTCACCATTCCTAAAACCTCTGGCCCCAGGGAACTCTGGAGGAGGAAAGAGGGTGTCAGAGGCCAGGCTGGGGCTCTAAGCCCAACTCTCCTACCCCCACCCCTGCTCCCCAGACACCTGGCTGTGCGTGGGCCTCGGGGAAGACCCTGGCTCCCAGGACAGCATTCCCATAACCAACACCTGCAGGAGAGAGATTGGAGAGGAGCTAGGGACAGGCTAGTGGAACAGGGACAGCATCAGGAGGGCCAGGTGACCAGCTCATAGACGGGGGATGCGGACAGACAGACTGACTCAGGCATGAGGGAGATGCCAGCTTCTGCCCGACATGGGGGAGCCCAGGAGGACTCACCAATTTTCTGTGGCTGGAGGCCACCATTAAAACCTGGGGGAGAGAAAACTGACTCAGAGATTAGGGTCAGTGAGAGCCACTGCCCTGGCCTCCCCTCTTCCTGGGATGCCAGAAGGAAGAGAAGGGAAGAGGAGGGGAAGGGAGGGAAGGAACTCCAGGAAGGGCCTCCTCACCCGGTTCTGCTCCTGGTCCATAGCCATTTGGAGGCTGGTGCCCTGTGAGGAGAAAGAAGGTCAGTGCGGAGGACCCAGGTCTCCCCTGACTCCTGGGGGGCCAAAGATGGACCTTAGGGACTCTGAAGGGGAAGCAGGGACTTTTTGTGTCCACAGGGAATGGAACCAGAAGAAACAGAGAGCAGCAAGAGGCTGGGCACGGTGGCTTATGCCTATAATCCCAGCATTTTGGGAGGCTGAAGCGGGCTGATCACTTGAAGCCAGGAGTTCGAGACCAGCCTGGCCAATGTGGCGAAACCCTGTCTCTACAAAAAATACAAAGATTAGCCAGGTATGGTAGTGCGTGCCTGTAATGCCAACTACTTGGGAGGCTTATTTTGCAGTGAGCCAAAATTGCACCACTGTACTCCAGCCTGGGCGACAGAGCGAGACTGTCTCCAAAAAAAAAAAAAAAAAAAAAGGAGCAAGAGGGTAGAAGAGGGTAGACTCGGGGAGGGACTTCCTGGCCTTAGGGTGCCTGAATAGCTGAGGCAGCCTAGGGAACAAGGGTGATGGAGGAGTGACCCTGATCTGGGGTAGGGACAGAGGACAGACCTAGCTGAGAGTTTGTCCCTCTGGGATGTGGGGCCTGGGGGCAGACAGACTCACACCTGCTTTCTGAGGTTGCAGTCCCCACTGGATGGCTGGCATCGGTGCTAGGAGGAAAGTCAGGGGCAGGAGTGAGCCCAGCCCAGGGCTTGAGAGGCTGTGGATGCCATGGGGCAGAGATTGAAAGGGCTCCCATACTGGGGGATACATGGGGTCCCAGGGAAAGAGTTCGGGCTTCTCGTCAGCAGATCACTGTGTGACAAGTCACTGCCCTCTCTGAGCCTTGGTGTCCGCGGACAGAGTGGGACATGGCAGCCAGGTGCTTCCCAGTGCCCCCCAGGCACCCCCACTCCACACTGACCTGGGAACTTGCCATTCTGCACTGCAGGTTGGGGCTGGGATTTCAGGCCCCAGCCACCCTCTTTGTCCCAAGGGACCCCTGGAGTGGGAAGCCTGGGAAGGAGCTTCAGAGTGACCCTCGCATTGCAGGGACCTAAGATGGGAAGGAAGGGAGGGATGGAGCTATGCTCCAGGCCAGTCCTCACCGACGCCACCCAGGAGGCCTTGGCCTGGCCAAGCTACCGGCCTGTAGGGGCTTCTAGGGCAGACCCAGCACCTAAGGGGGACATTAGCCAGGCTGGAAAAAGCCCAGCTCCGTCGGGCCACACCCTGCTGGGGGGACCTGGGAATCCAGGCAGGGGATAGAGGGACATAGGGATCTGTCAGGGATGGGGCTCCTGGTGTTGGTCCACCAGCCCCTCCATCTTTCAGCAGCCTCCCTCTCCCTTCCTGCTGATCCCCCAACCCTGGTCCCAGTGGCCTCACCTGGCTGGGGCCCATTATCATGGCCATATCCTAGAGAGGGAAAGCAGAGATGAGTGTGGCAACACTGGGGGGAGGGGCTAGAAGGGCTGAGAGGCAGAAGGAGGTGTGGGGCAGAGCCACGGGTCCACCACTCGCCTGGCTTCTGAGGCTTCATAGTCCCTGGCAGGCCTGGGGAGAGAGACAAAGAGGCCAGTTCAGACACCAGTCCACCCCAGGGGTGTAGTGAACCCCTCTCTCCCCTGCTGATTCCCCTAGCCGCGCCTTTTCACCTGGCAGGAGCCCCAGCCGGGTCCCTGGTGTGTATCCTGGGAGGGAGAGCAGGGCATGAGGGCGGGTTTGGAGTGAGGGACCTTGGAGGAGGCAGGAAGAGGGGCAGAGAGGAACTCAGCTTTGGAGGTTTCTGGCTCCCTCCCAGTCCAGAGACCCATGGAGAATGATGGACAGGCCGACCCCACCCCTCTCCTTCTGAGACCTACCTCTGCCCCTTGGAGCCCGTCCTCCTTCCCCTCTCCTCCAGTTCCCACCAACCTCCCTCACCTGGCTGGGCTCCTTCCCACAGGAAGGCTCCAGCTCCAGCCCATTCTTGCACCCTGGGGAGACAGGGTGCGGCTTGGGAGGGGAAAAGAGTGGAAGGGTAGGCAGTTTCTGCGGGCAGGGAGAGTGAGGAGTGGGAAGGGCTTACCTGGCTTCTGAAGTTTCACGCCCTCTCCAACGCCTGGAGAGATGCGAGCAGATGAGAGACCAATGGCCCACCCCTTGCTGAGGGGCCTTTTCCAGTCCCAGCATCTGCCCCCCTACCCGGTGCCCACGCCAACCTACCCTACCTGGTTCATGGCCAGTGGGAACTGCAGGGCCTGTGGGGGCAGTACGGGGAGAGGCTGGGGTACAGAAAGGGGCTGGAACCTGGCTCCCCTATCCTCTCAGTTTAGGAACTGGAGCTCGCGGCACGGCACCTCCGTCCACCTTGTGCCACCTCCTCTTCAGACTCCACCCCCTCTAAGGCTGCAGGAGCCCCCGAGAGAACCCTCAGAACAGTGTCGGGGGAGACCCAGGCCCCTACCTCTCTCCTCCTTTGCACTCCCAGCAACCCCAGCCCCCCAGTACCTGTTCTGTAGCCATTCTGGGCTGAGGGGCCTGTGGGGAGGGAGGGGTGAGCAGGGGGTTTGGGATTCTAGCTAAGGAGAGGGCGAAGGGCCTTTGGATCCCCCTTCAGAGCCAAGTCAGAAACCAGGGATCCTGGAGCCGCCTCTCCTCCCTCATTTTGGTGCCCACCTGCCTTGGAGGCCTGGGAGCGAGACAGGAACAGCAGCCCGACACCCCCTCACTGGCTGGGCTCCCAGCCCCCTCTTGAATCCCAGTGGAACTGAGATGGGGTATGAATGAGGGAGGGAGCTCAGGGTTTGGGGGAGGCAGAGGGACAGGCTGGGCAGGGCTCACCTGGCTTCTGGGCCTTCACAACCCCCGAATAGCCTGGTGGAGAGACAGGGAGCAAGTGAGGGACCCAAGGCCTCCGCTCCAGACCTCCTGGAACCCCAGCCCCGCCTCTACCTGGTCCATAGCCATTTGGAGCTCCCAGGCCTGTGGGGCAAAAAAGGAAGAGTGGTAAGCCTGGGCCAGTGGGGGACAGGGAGGCAGGGCCCAGGAAGGGGGCTCTCAGTCTCTCCTCCACCTACTCTCCCCTCGGTCCTCGGTGCTCCTACAGACCTCCCCTCACTCATGAGGCAGGGGTCACCTCTCCCCTGGGAGTCCCACGCAGAACCAACTAGAGCGCCAGGATCTAGGGGAGGTGGGGCCACAGACGCAGGCAGTCCCCTCACCTGGCATCTGAGGCTTCATCCCTGCTCCTAGGCCTGGGAGAGACAGAGATACTGACATCAACTCCAGCCAGTGCTGCTGATCCTCAGACACCAGCCCTCTGTCCCTGTGGCCCCAGCTTCTCTCTGCCTGCCCACCTCCTGACCCCTTGCCAGCCAGGCCCAGCTACCCTCACCTGACTGGACTCCCGGTCCATTTCTGTGGCCATATCCTGGGGGGAGGGATGGGGTGGGTGTGAGACAGCGGAGGGGGCGTCAGGAGGAGGCAGCTCAGTCGGCTGTGGGCAGCTCTAGAGATAGGGCGGGGGGCCAGGGCCCTCCCCAGCCTGGCTTCTGAGGCTTCACTCCGGAGACAGAGCCACACTGGGCCAGACAGTGGCACTTAATTTCTCAGGATTCAGACCCACACTCTGCCTTCCTGGCCCCCTGGCCCGCTCTCTGTCTTCCCCCTTCCTTCTAAGAAGCCTGGGCTCAGCCCGGTGCCGTGGCTCACGCCAGTCATCCCAGCACTTGGGAGGCCAAGGCGGGTGGACCATCTGAGGTCAGGAGTTCGAGACCAGCCTGACCAAAATGGTGAAACCCTGTCTCTACTAAAAATACAAAAATTAGCCAGGTGTGGTGGTGGATGTCTGTAATCCCAGCTACTCAGGAGGCTGAGGCAGGAGAATTGTTTGAACCCAGGCCTGGGCGACAGAGCGAGACTCTGTCTCAAAAAATAAATAAATAAAAAGCCTCAGCTCCTACTCCAGGTATCCTCACCTGGCTGGGTTCCAGCCTCAGGGAAGGCCCCTGCTCCCACCCTCTTCCCATATCCTGGAGAGGGAGAGGGAGCATGAACGGGATGCTTATGGCTTCAGGGGTGCGTGCATGGAGAGGCAGACCAGGGTGGGGCTCACCTGGCTTCAGAGGCTTCACACTCCCTCCAAGGCCTGGAGGAGATATGAGGGGGTTGGTGAGTGACTCAGGGGCCCCACCCACATTCTCCCCCAGCCCCTCCCCACCCCTGCTCTTACCTGCTCCAAATCCAAATCCATTCTGGGCTGTCAAGACTATGGGGAGAGGAGGGTGGGGTGATGATTTGGGGTTTGGTTGAGGTGGAGGTAAGGGAATACTGGAGGTTTCCTCCCAGCATCCCTTCAGGTATTTACCAGCTCAGCCCTCCATGAGACTGGGAAAGGAGGCAGGGAGAGGACACCCCAGGGGTAGACCCCCAGACCCCACCTCTTTCACCTGGCTGAGCACCCAACCCATTCCCATTCCCTAATCCTGGGGGACAGATGGAGGTGGGGATGAGAGCGGGAAGGGGGCTCTGAACATTGGGGAGACAGAAGCCCGGGGAGAGTCAGGCTCACCTGGCTCCTGTGCCTTCATGCCCCCTCTAAAGCCTTCAGGAAAATGGGGAGCAGATGAGGTACCCAGGAGCCCCCAACTCAGATCCACCTCAGAACCTCAGCATCTGGACCCCAGCTCCTCCCATCCCCTCAGGAGCTGCTCCAGGGCCATTCTGAGGTGGGGGGCTTGTTGGGGAGGGAGGGCTGAGCTAAGCTGGGGATACAGTGCCTATGGTTCCCCTTCAGGGCCAAGCCAGAAGCCAGGGTGGGAGACGCCCTGTCACCCCTCCCCATCATTCACCAATCCCGCCCCTGGGAGGAAGAGGCCGCCCAGATGCGGATCCCGGAACCCCGGACTCTACCCCCTTCACCTGGCTGGGCTCCCAGCCCAATCCTGTACTGGAATCCTGGGGGAATAGATCAAGGCAGGGTATGAATAAGAGGAGGGAGCTCAGGGTTTGGGGAGGCAGAGGGACAGGCCGGGGCAGGGCTCACCTGGCTTCTGGGATTTCATGGCCCCCCCATAGCCTGGTGGAGAGACAGGGAGCAGATAAGGAACCTGGGGCCCTAGCTGTGGGTCTCCCCAAACCCTAGCCCCGCCCCTACCTGGTTCATAGCCGTTTTGAGCAGTGGGGCCTGTGGAGGAGAGAAAGGGTTAAGGCCCTTCGGAGCCCTGGATGCCATCTCCAGCCACCTCAGGCAGGGGTGTCCCCACTTCCAACTTCAACCAGCCAGAAAGCTGGGTTCCTTTCCTCAGCAGCCTCCAACTGTCAAGCTCCAGCTCCTGCCACATCTTGAGTCTGACTTTTTTTTTTTTTTTCCTTGAGATGGAGTCTCACTCTTGTTGCCCAGGCTGGAGGGCAATGGCGTGATCTTGGCTCACTGCTGCAACCTCCGCCTCCCAGGTTCAAGCAATTCTCCTGTCTTAGCCTCCTGAGTAGCTGGGATTACAGGCGCCTGCCACCACGCCCGGCCAATTTTTAGTATTTTTAGTAGAGACGGAGTTTCATCATGTTGGCCAGGCTGGTTTCGAACTCTTGACCTCAAGTGATCCACCCACCTCGCCTCCCAAAATGCTGGGATTACAGGCATGAGCCACCGTGCCCGGCTAGGTCTGAGTTCTTGCTGGAGCCGGTACCTTCTTTGTTCAAAACTCTGTTTTTGGTCCAATTTCTCAGCGACTTGGGCCACTCTCTCCTCTCCTCCGTGGCCTCCACTGCCTCCTACCCAGAATGCCCAGGGCCCAGCTCTGGGGCAGCCTCAGCTCATACTGTACGCCCCAGCGTGGCCCTGGTTGGGGAGGGCCTGTCCCCAGCACCTGCTTGGCTCAGAACAGGCATGGTTCACAGATTGTTTGTTTTTTAAACAGGGTCTCCCTTTGTCACCCATGCTGGAGTACAGTGGTGAAATCTCCACTCACTACTATCTCGACCTCCTGGGCTCAAGTGATCCTCCCCCCTCAGCCTCCAGAGTAGCTGGGACCACAGGCACGTGCCACCACAACTGGCTAGGTTTTGTATTTATTTATTTTTTTTTTGTAGGTGGATTGCTTGAGCCCAAGAGTTCAAGACCAGCTTGAGAATGCTGCCCAGGGTGGTCTTGAACTCTTGGACTCCAGTGATCCACCTAACTCCGCCTCCTGAACTGTTGGGATTACACGTGTTAGCCACCGCTCCAGGCCTGGATTGGTTTGCCGAATGAGGTTTGTTGTGTGAGACCAAGTTGGGAGGCTAGAGGTTGGGACTCGCCTGCTCTCTGAGGCTTTAGTTCCCCTGCCAGGCCTGGGAAGAGAAGGGGAAGGACTTTCTGTTAGTCCACCCAGCCTTTCCTCTCTGCTCAGGACCAGGGACAGGCCCCCATATCAGTAACCCCCAATTCCTAAGACCTCCATGCTCCCAGAACTCCAGGGCCTCACCTGCCTGGGTTCCAGCTCCCAGGAAGGCCCCGGCTCCCCGCCCATTCCCATTCCCAAATCCCACGGGAAAGAGCCAAAGAGAATGGGGAGATCCAGGACTCTAGGGAAGCAGTGGCAGATGCATAGGAAATGGGCAGCGAGACAGGAACAGGGTGGGGCTCACCTGGCTTCTGGAGTTTTCCACTCCCTCCAAAGCCTGGGGGAAAGATGAGAGGGTGAGGGATCCTTTCCTCTGGACCTGTGCCCAGAATCTCAGCCCCAGGTTCCCCGCTTCCATCCCCACCCTCTTTACCTGGTCCAAAGCCATTTTGAGTGGCAGGACCTATTTGAGGGGTAGACACAGGAGTGTGGATGGTGGTGCAGTGGGAATGAGCTAGGGCCTGGAGCCCTGCCCTCCTGCTTTCTGTCTCGCAGGACCTCTGCCCTCTCCCTTCCTGTCTTGTGTGACCCCTGCCCTCTCCCTCTCTGTCTCTGTGAACTCCCTTCCAGGCCTGACCGCAGTTGAAGCTGGATTTGGCTCTTGACCTGGGAGTCCAGACCGTGGCCATGCTTGACCAGCTCGGGTGTCCTCCCTGCCCAGCCGAGGCCTGACTTGGGGCAGGTGCTCAGGGGAGACTGGGTGAATGAATGAACCGCAAGAGCCCATCCATTGGTACCCAGAGTGTGGCCCCGGGCCCCGACCTCTCCCTCCTAGCCACCCCAGCCCCTTCGGCCCTGACCTGGCTGGGTTCCCAGTCTGTTTCCATTGCTGTATCCTGGGAGGAAAAGCAGTGTGTGAGGGGTGGATATGGGGAGGGCTTGAGGGTGGGACAAGGCCGTAGATTCAGGGGAAACAGTCAAGATAGGGGAGGGAAGAGCAGGGGCTCACGGACCCCACCCATCCCCTGTCCTCCCCCAGAAATAAGCTTTCTGCCCTCTGCACCTCTGACATCCCCTGGCTTTTCCCTGTGCCTCCTAGAATCCCAGTGTGGTCCAGGTGCCCTCACTTGTCTGGGCTCCAGCTCCTGGGAAGGCCCCAGCTCCCATCCTGTTCCCATCACCAGATCCTGGGAGACCAAGTGGAAGGAGGAAGCAGAGGCTGGGGCTGGATGTGTGTGTGCGGGGAGTGGAGGACAGGGACACTGGAAAGGAGAGGCACACCTAGGAGGTTTCACCCCCCACCCCACATCAGCAATAGAGAGAGACAGACCAGGTAAAGAAGCCTGCTCCTCCCTGGAGCCCCCAGACCCAAGCCCAGGCCCTCAGCTCCACCCTACTCTCCCTGACTTGGTTTTGGGCCTGTGGGGTGAGGGAGGCAGAGGCTGGAGCTAGGCCATGTGTAGTGCGGGTCCGAACACCACCCCAGGGCCGCTGTGCCCCATGCTCTAACAGTTCTCTAAGGGCGCATGCCCAGGGAGCAACTCAGAGACCTCCACAGAAGTCCCCACCCCAGGAATGGCATTGGCAGGCCAGAGAGGGACCAGCGCCTGCAGAGGATAACACAGACTGAGAGGGGGACAGAGAGGGACGAGACATGGTGAGCATAGCAGGGAGGCGGTATGTGGGCAGGGTCCTTCCTTCATCTGCTTCTGAGGTTCCCTCTCCCCCAGGCATGGGGAGAGCTAGAAAGAGGCTGACATTGACCCCAAGAGCTCCTCCCCTAAGAATGAGAGTTGGGACCCTGAACCCTCCTGCCCGCCCCTCCCTGCGGCCCCTGCCCAGCCACCCTCTCCTGGTGGGGTTCCTGCCCCTGGAAGAATGCCAGCGCCCAAACTACTTCTGCTCCCCAATCCTGGGGAGACAGAGGCGAGGGCCATGAGCGGTGGGGTGGGCAGGCTTGGGGGACACAGAGGCGCCTGGATATAAGTGGGCAGGGCGGGGCAGGGCTCTGCCTCACCTGGCTTCGGAGGTTTCACGCCCACTCCCGGGCCTGGGAAGGGACAGAGTGGCTGAGCCCTGCCCTCCCTCCAGAGCCCAGCTCTCCCAGCTCCTGGTTCCCTGACTCTGCTCTACCACTTCCCCCTCCCTCCTGGAAGCCCAGGTCCTGTCCCACGTGTCCTCACCTGGCTGGGCTCCGGCCACTGGGAAGGCCCCTGCTCCCAGCCCGTTTCCATATCCTGGGGAGACAGAGCCAGAGGAACATGAGGAGGGGGAATGGGGCGTCGAGCAGAGACAGAGACAGAGGGCGGGAAGTGGACACTGGGACAGGTGTGGGGTGGGCTCGCCTCTGGCTTCTGGGGTTTCACAGCCCCTCCAAAGCCTGGGAAGACAGATGGGCAGATGAAGGGGCCCTGCCTTCCTGCCCCGGGCTCCCTGCTCCACAGCCACACTGAGCTGAGGCAGGAGTGAGGCCCAGGTGCCCCTGTCCCCTTACAAAGCCAGACATCAGAACTCCTCATGGTTCCCCTCCTGCCCACCTCCTGTGAGACACCCACCTGTTCTGCCCTCTCGGAGGCCTGGGGGAGCCTGGAGAGGAACCTGGAAATGCTGATCTGGCTGCATCCCCTCCCCCACAGTATCAGGCAAAGATTAGGCACCCCCAAGCCCCTCCCATTCCATAACCACATCCCCGCCTCACCTGGCTGGGCTGCAGCACCTGGGAAGATCCTGAACCCTGGGGTGAGAAGGCAGGAGGGAGTTAGGAGGAGTGAGGCAGGCAGGGGCTGGGCGAGCCTCACCTAGGTTCTGGGGTTTCATGCCCCTTTCAGTGTCTGGGAAAGAGGGGGATCAGATGAGGGGCTCAGGAATCCCCATCCCAGGGATACCCCTAGAATCCTGGCTTCCAGCTCCCCCACTCCCACCTCTACCTGCTTCATAGCCAATCTGAGTGGAAGGGCTTGTGGGAGAGAGAGAGGTGAATTGAGAAGGTTTGGGGTCCCAGCTGAGGTGGGGGTACAAGACCTTTGGACCCCTCCTTGGACTAAGCCAGACACCAGCAAACCTGAGAGGCTCCCTGTGCATCCCCCCACCACAATGACTCTCCAATCCTGCCTCTTCCCTCTGAGGCCTGGGAGGGAGGCAAGGAGGGGACCCCACAGCTCTCACCTGGCTGGGTTCCCAGCCCATGCCTGACCCTGAATCCTGGAGACAGATGAGGTGAGGTGAGGAGTGTGAGAGAAAGAGGGGGAGACAGAGCTGGGGCCGGGGCAGGGCTCACCTGGCTTCTGTGGGTTCACGCCCCCTTCAGATCCTGGAGAGACAGGGAGGTGAGGGATACCCTTCTCCCAGGATCTCCCCAGAACCCCGCACCTGGTCCACAACCTGCCCAAGCAGCGGGCCTGTGGGAACTCAGTCCCTTCCCATGAGGGTGGAGGGCTGTGGGGCACAGGTGGGTGCTTTCAGCTGCCTTCCCTCCCTTCTTCCCTCTCTCCTTCCTTCCTTCTCTCTTTCCTTTCTTCCCTGCCCCACTCCATTTCTTCCTGCCTGCCTTCCCCTCTCCCCAGCCAGGGTGCCTGGGGGACACTCTGGGGCTCAGCTCTGTCCCCGCGTATTTCTGGTATTTCTGAGATGACTGCTTTCCCCTTTACCTGCCCCCCACCCAGCTTTCCCTGCTCCTGCCCTGCCTCCTCCCTGCCCTGTACCCTGCCCTCAGATGCCTCCCTTCCCTATGCCAGGCCTCACCTGCTCCCAGACCACTGTGGGGGCCATAGGCTGTGGGAAAACTGAGATGTTGAGCTGGGGTGCTGGAGCAGCTGGGAGCTGGTGTGCCACCCTCCCCGAGCACCCCGCCACCAGCTTTTAACGGATCGGTAGCCATTTGGGCTCTCTAAGCCTGTGGGGTTCAGGGAGAAGCAGGGGAACTTACGAGGGGGCAAAGGGGCCCAAATCTGGATGCCACCCCCTTCTCCAGGTCTCAGTCTCCCTGCTGTCACAGGAGGGTAGAGGGCAAAGCAGGTAAGTAGTCTGGGGCCAGGGCAGTGGAGGCTAGAGGGTCCCTGGACCTGGAGGAAGGTGTCTGAGCCGGGGCTTTGGGGGGTTGTGGGGCAGATCCCACTCCACCCTCTTCCTCTTCTCTCCCATCCATTCTCAGTACTAGGCTCCCCTCCCTTCCTGGAAATCTCCTCCTCCGCCTCTCACTGCCTCTGCCCCGCAATCTTTCTCTCCTGAAGCTCAGATGCATCAGGGCTTGGGGGAGCCCCTCCTCCTACCTTTAGGACCCCCCAGGTCCCTGAAGTAAAGACCCTTCCATGACACTCGCCTCCTGCCCCTCAGCAGGCTCTGCTCTTCTTGTCCACTCCCTCCCCTCCCCCTCAAGGCTCCTTTGGGCTGCTGTGAGGTCTGCCCCTGTTGTCACACCTGCCCACCCTTCTCAGGCAGCCCAGGCCCCTCCTCAGGGCTGTATGTTCTGCCCGGTGGACTCTTCCCAGAGCGCAGGGTGTCTGTGCTCCCCACCGAGTGGATACTTGATGAGACTCCTTGCCCGGAAGACAGCAAGGGCCCTGAGCTCTCCTGGGCCCCGCATCGGGAGTCCCAGAGAGCTCCCACGCACCTCAGGGCGGGAGAGATGGGAGACTCTTCCCTGACCCCAGTGCCAGAGGGGCCACTACCTTTCCCCAGGCCAGGAGGCAGCGGGGGCAGCCCTGGGGGAACAAAGTGGTGCTGACTCAAGGCTGGGGGCCCTAGAGGCTGAGATGGGGCAGGGCCCAGGCATCTAACCTCCAGCCCCCAGAAACCTTCACTGTCTGAATTCTCTGCCCAGACCAGGCTTCCCACACCCCAGCCCTCCTTGTCTCCAGAACCCCAGTATCCGGCCAGGGCCCCACCTGGACCCCTAGCCCCAGTCACAGATGCCCACTCTACAACCCCTAGCCCCGAGCTGCCCTCACCACCTTGTAGGCTCTTAGAAGTCAGGCAGAGAAGGAAAAGGGCTGCAGGGAAGGCCCAGGCACCCATGACTCTAGGCAGAGTGGGAGTGCCCACAATCTTTGGGCACCCCAGCTGCGAGAGGCAGAGGCTCTGCCTGCAGACCCTGGGGGGTCAGCCCCCCACCTCTCCCTGTGGCAGAAGTCTAGCTCTGGCTCCTCATCCATCATGGGCGCTGACAGCAGGACAGGCCCCCTAGACTTCTCCACCCCTGTCAGTGACTCAGGCCCTGGCTCCAGGCCCAGAGGGCTCAGATGTCCCCCCAGCAAGGGGCAGGCAGGCACCCTAGGCCCAGCCCAAACACAGCTGGGGAGAGGGCAGGAACCAGGGCTTTGGAGTGTTGCAGACAGCAGGGGTGGAGGTGACAGCATCTCAGACCCTGTCTGACAGGCGGTTGGTGGTCCCAACAAAAGCCAGGAGTCATCCCGTCTAGTCCTGAGACTACACAGACCCCACCCGGGGGTCCTTTGTCCTCATGGAGGCTCAGCCTGCCAGAGTGGGCCAGAGCCCCAAACTTCAAAGCCACCCCTTCCTCCTCTCTCCTCCTTCCAGGAGGGGAAGGGACACATGAGGATGGGCCAACTGTGCCCAGCCTCTCTGAGAGTCCTTGGAGGCCCTCCAGCTCTGCCTCATCTCCTGCCTCAGCAGCGACTCTAACTTTGGGTCACAGACTAGCGGAGCCACCACTCAGGGTTGGGGGGCAGGACAGCAGGAGAGGCCGAGAAGGGGACGTGGAGGGCTTGGAGCAGCTCTCCATGCCTGGGGCTGGGTGGATGGACTTGGAGCTGGGGCCCCGTGCTGGGGGCCTGGAAGGGAGGCGCCGGGCATGGAGGTCTGGACAACAGGCACCACCCCTCAATGAGCCTTCAGACCCCACCAGGCTGGCTGGGGATGACAGTGACTCAGCCCCTAGCCCCTGCACCCTCGTCCAGAAGGTCCCACACCCTGTCTGTCTGCTGGCCCGTCCCTGGCCCAGCCAGCCCCTCCTGGCACCTCTAGCTAAGGAGTCCAGCCTGCCAAGCCAGGCCGCGGAGCTAGGCTGGGGGTCTGGAGAGGGCTATAATGAGGAAGGGGCAGCAGAGGTTTCTCCGAGAGAGGTTGCTGAGCCCACACCTCTGTGGCCAGGTCCAGCCGCCAATAGACTACAGGGTTAGTTACCACCAGGTACCCTTACTCATAGGCCAGCCCAGCACTTAGGTCCCTGCGCCCCCTCCCTCTCTGCCTCCCCTCTCACCCACATTGTAGGCTGTGCCCCACTGCTGCTCTCTCTCCCCACACATGAAGCCCCCCACAGGGCTCACACCCACAGGCACACTATGATGCCTGTGGTGCCCACCTCCCCACTACAGACCCACCTTTGCACGAGGCCTGCCTGCTCACGGCAGGGCCCCTCAGCCCAGCGCCTCAGAACAGTGCCCTGAACGCCCCCCTCCTGTCCTGCCTGGCAGACAGCCATGAGTTGGGGTCCCAGAGACTGGACCTTCATGAGTGGCTGACAGGGGCTCAGGGATGCCCCCTGGCCCCATCCATCCTATGAGTGCCCAGGGTAGCAAGGACAGTCCATTCAGACTCCCTGGGAGGACTTTCCTGCCAGGCCACCTGCCCCGCCCATGGCAGCAGGCACATGTCCCCCGCATATTCATGGAGGGTAGCCGAATAGCCCCGTGGCTAGCAGCTGAGTGCTGGATTCACACAGGGTGCAAACACCCACTCCATCTGGCTCGGGGCCTTCCCGTGTGTGTTCACGCTCCCCTAAAATGACAGTAAGAGCACCTCTATGTTGGGGCTACTGGGAGGAGCTGCTGCTTTTCCTCATTTACAGATGAGGAAACAGAGGCAGGGGGAAGGGACTTGGCTCAGATTGTGCACCTCCCGAGCGGTGGGGCTGAGATCTGAACCCCAGCAGTCTGAAAGTCCCCATGCCTGATGTCCCTGCTCTCAAGCATCCTACATGCTTACAGGCAGGCAGTAGGCCCAGTTATGCCAGGCGGGATGAGGTGTCCGCTTGAGACCGAGGCCAGCTGAGAGCTCCTACACAGACACATGGCTTGCCCTGCAGGGCACTGGGAAAGCATAGCCCAGGAGGAGGCAGGCAGGAAACCAGGAGGTGCCCTGTGGGAGGTAAAGGATGGGCGCCTGCTTGGCCACTGCCAGAGGGAACACCAGTGCCTGCCACCACTGCCAGTCTGCCTGGTGCTGGCATGGCCTTGGAAAATGCCAGCCAGCCCAGGGCCTCGGGCCAGCCTGACAGTCACTCAGGACCAGGTTGGGTCCAGTCGGGTGTCCCAGCCCCTGCAATGCCACCACTCGTACTCCTAGCACAGCCAGTCCTCTCTACTCACCCCCAGACCCACTCAGGCAGGGCCTGCCTGACAGCACAGAGACTATGTGTGGGCTGGGAGAGCCCCTGATGGAGTCTTGACCTGGGCTAACCTTTGCTCCCAGGCACCCTGGCCTGAGGGGGACACAGCACAGCCTCTGAACAGAGGAGCAGCTATGAGGGGCTAGGGCTGAGGGCCAAGGGCAGGGCGACAGCAGGGATGTTGGAAGTGCAGGACCCAGGCTCAGGAAGTGCATTGCCCTAAAATGGCAAGAGACTCCCTGCCAGCTGCTAGACACCAGTGGCACCTGTGAGGGCAGGAATTTGGGGAGGACAGCTGAAGCGGTGGCCAGGCGCCAGCCGGGCTGACACCTTCTGCACTCGCAGCTGTGCTGAGGGTCCCGCAGGCCACTCTGCTTGGGCAGCTCTTCAGCCCATACCCAAGCATCGGAGCCTCTAGTGTACCTTTCTAGGCGTCCCAAGGCAACTCACACCAGCAAAGCTGACCTCTATGAACTCCTTCTCCCCACCCATCTGCCAGTTCATTAAAACCTTATGCAGACCTGGCGCAGTGGCTCACGCCTGTAATCCCAGCACTTTGGGAGGCCAAGGTGGGTGGATCACGAGGTCAAGAGATCGAGACCATCCTGGCCAACGTGGTGAAACCCTGTCTCTACTAAAAATACAAAAATCAGCTGGGCATGGTGGTGCACGCCAGTAGTCCCAGCTACTCGCGAGGCTGAGGCCAGAGAATCGCTTAACCCGGGAGGTGGAAGATGCAGTGAGCCGAGATCGTGCCACTGTACTCCAGCCGGGCGACAAAGCAAGGCTCCATCTGAAAATAAATAAATAAAATAAAAAACCTTATTCAAGTGTGAAACATAGCATGCAAAGATTAGCGCACACGAGAATGTGCTGTGTAGCAATCGTACTTATGAGACAAACCCCTATGCACCCAGCACCTGGGTCAAGAAATCAGTTCCGCAGAAGCACCCATCCCAGTCCCCTCCCTCCCATTAGGATAGCCACATTTGCCCTTGTGGTCGTCATTCCCTCGCTTTTTTTCTTTTGAGACAGAGTCTTGCTCTTGTCGCCCAGGCTGGAGTGCAGTCGCGCGATCTCGGCTCACTGCGACCTCTGCCTCCCGGGTTCAAGCGATTCTCCTGCCTCAG